TAAACTCATCGTGTGGAATTGTGGTTAATATTATACACACAGTGGCTAAAATATATAGCTGATACTGATCTACACTTTGTTGTCCATCATCCTATCAGGATATATACGCAGTTCTATATATCTCGATAGTTATTTGAAGAATATTTACGCGACCTAAATATTTTCCCGTTACACTTATGTCTCCCTCTTTGAAGATAGCGCTTGAGAAAAATACTACGCGTCTTTATGGAAGGTATGAGGATTACTCTAAAAAATTTCCGTATTGGGGAGAAACCAATCCCACAGGGTTCTCGAACGTTCGGAAATACAAACCGCTTCCGAGATTGACTCGGAAGCCCTTTTACTATGTTTTGTCGCATGCTAGCTTAGCGCCTTCAATATAACGGTAATTTCACATATTACTCTATAATGCTTATCAGATTTGTTTGTTTACCTGTGCTACAAAAAGTCGAAATATAGGACGTCACTGTTAAAAACAGGACACGAAAATAAACGTGTTGTTATTGGAGTTTCGCAGATGAACACTATGACGAGTGCATTCAAAAGAGATCATCAATCAGATCAGAAATAAGTGCTTACACCAATGATGTTGCAAAGATATACTTGGTAAGTCGACTGTTTCACTAGACAAACGAATGTCGTATCTCGACCGATCTTATCTAACATTGGACCCTCTGTAGTGGTTATTCTCACGCCAGAACTGAAGGATACGACGCTTGCTAACCTATGGCGACTTTCTTTTCATCAATTGAGATCCCAGTTTCAAGTATTCGGCGTTCGTGCAATAGCAGCACCATGGATAGCTGCACCACTCTTTTTAGACTCTTCGCATTCTTTCATTTATATAGCCAATCTCGCATGCGAAAATCATCAGCTTGCGGAACAATGGAATGCGTGGCTCCATGCTTGGCCTGAAACAACCAAACTGATCAATTCTTCATCCCTTCTATTATGGAACACTCGCAAAACATATTTGCAAGATTTGCAGAAAGCTGGCATTCCCGTTATTCCAACACTGTACGTCGAGCATATCGATGAAAAAACATTAATCAATGCCGCAGCGTATTTTGCTATGTCTGACCTAATCGTTAAGCCTCAAGTAGGCGCTTCTGGTTTCAATATGATACGCGTTCTAGTAGACAGTACTGACTGCATCTCAGTGCCAAGTAAGACAGATACAAATCTGTCATTATTTTAATTCTTTATTCCTTTCTTTCAGAATCATTGAGCACCTTCGCAGCCGTCGCCGAGCTGACACGTTTAGGTACCGTTGATTCGATGATGATGCTACATCCGTTTATGACAAGTGTTGTTCAGGAAGGTGAAATATCTGTGTTCGTGTTTGGTGAGAAAGTGGGTCACGCTGTGCGGACCAAGCCACAGTCCAATGACTATCGTATACAGTTCGAATATGATGGTATTACCACCACACTAAAGGAAATTTCACCTGAAATGCTTGAATTAGTGCACAATGTAATCGTGGCTTGTCCTGAAACTCCTGTTTATGCACGGGTTGATATAATGCGTAATACTGAAACAGGATGCTTGTGTGTTAGCGAACTAGAACTTATTGAACCTGGTCTTTTCTTGGAGCATGCGCCCGATGGAGGTATGACATTTGTGCGCGCTATCTTACAAGGTAGTTCAATTAATACTATTTGACATCTATGTAAAATAGTAAAACCAGAGAAAGGATATTGTGCTCATACAAAGGTCTCCTCTCTCACAAACTGTCATTGTGTCCCATAACTCTAAACTGAACATCCAAGAATTTGACCTTGTGAATTGTCATATATATTTTATTAATGTGAGTTAATTTTGAATAAAATTGCTAAATTTGAGATAATTTACAAAATTTGGTCTCTTTTAAATTGTTAAATATTGATATTCTTGTCCAGAACACTATCTCATTTATAATCGAATTTAAATCTCGGTCCAAAGAGAATATTTCAGGTAGTTGATGTTTTGATAAGATGTGTGATTTAAATGCGAGTGAAAAACAGCTGACTTTGAATACTTCACGATTGAAGCTTCTGGAGTTTCCAACTCGGTAATCCCCTACAGTAGCTAGTTGAGGATCCAAGTGCCTTTCCTAAGGTAGCTGGATGAGAACTCAGGTACTCCGATCGAGACACGCACATAAGAACCCAAAAATCCGCAGTAGTATAGGTCAGAGGATTTCAGTTAAAGCCCTATTGTAAATCTGTGAGTTGATTAGTAAGTAGCCAGTTAACTGGAACTGATGCGTCTTTATCGAAAACTCGTCAGATTTCATCCCAAAATATGTTGCTTATTCACCGTAAAAAAGTTACAAATGAAGGGCATCTTCAAGCGCATTTTGTTGTCATCGTACAGCAGACTACGACTTGTAGTCATGTTTATTTGAAAACTAATCTATCTTTTATCACTTCACATTTGCAAAATTTTCTTCAATATCTTTCTGATATGCACGAATAAATATTTGTTTTATATCTTTTTCAATTAAAAAAGCAACTTCGGCTCCATCTTGATCCCTTGGCAACCATTGAGTGCCGTCATAAACAGGATTTAGACGAAATACTCGAAAATATAATGGGCCTGTCCATGTTGTATAGAGACGACACTTGTCCGTGTAACCAAAGTCTACGAGGCTCACCCAATCATATCTGAAATTAGAATTAATTATTATTTCGTTCGGAAACTGCCCCCAATTAGCCAATAGATTTTCTCGTGCGATTTTTCTCATTAAGCCATCAGCAGTGGCGAGCCATGGCTCCAGAAATTTTGAATCCCGTACTCGAATAATTGAATGACGAATTGTTTTGGCGATGCTCGACAGAGATAATGGATCATAAAAATCATCGGATAGCATCATAACTATAGCATTAGAGACGTGTCCAATTGGAGCAATCGAGTCGGAAACACCACGGAAGTTAACAACTGTGTTTGCGCGTTGAATGCGGTGTTGATGGTCATTTACATAACAATGAGTATTCAGTGTCAAAATCAGGTAGGCAGAAAGTGAATCTTGAATGGTTACATTGTTGCCACCGGCTAATTCACGTAATTTGGCTAGTTGGTCACCTGAGAAGCGCAGAGTCAGTTGGTCGTGTGTCTCTTGCCAACTGCAAAAAAGTTGCAACATTTCTTGTAATGGTCCAGCATGACTTAGATGTTTCATAATAGGTAGAAGAGACTTATCCGCTTCATCTTCTCGCCATAGGCGCCGTTCGAATACAGGCAATGTGCCAATCGATTCCAAGTTTTGATAAAAACGTGAGATGCTATTTAAAAAGTTTAGAAAGGATGCAGCATCACCTAATATATGTGCCCAACTTGCTCCCAAAATCCATTCACCACTTTGTACTAGACGAGTCAGTTTCAAACGAACGAGAGGTTCATGCAAAGAAGAAGAAAATAATTTTATAACTTGTACTTCGTCAATGAATGATGCAAGTAGGTTTTTATGCAGTTCTGAAACAATATTGAAGTCGAAAGGCCAAGCAGCTAACTCACTGCATTCAGCGTAAGTGACGGGTATTGGATTGTCCGACATTTCGATCACGTAGTGGCCATCATCGAGTAGGAGCAAATGACCGGCAATGAGAGGCCACACTGAGAGAGTGCGACTAAGTGCATTCTTGAATCGGTCGATATCCAACTGAGACGGATAAACGAATACTTGATCGGTGCGTGAGAACAGCCATAGATCAATACCAGCAAGCTCAACTCGACGACTATTACCTGTTAGGGAGGATGGAAAAACGAACCAGCACGTCATATTTCAGTGTTATTAAAGAAGTCATCGTTATCACAACGTATAACTTGCTGTCGATTATACCACAAAGAAACGATAAGAATAGAAGAACATAGACGGTATTTTTCTTCACGACGACACAAAGATATTGTCTACCTTAAGATACGGGTGTCCGGATAATGGGCGAGAGCGAATGCGTGAAGATGAAATTGATGATAAGAGTAAATGTGAGTATTATAATATAAATTTAAAAATTTAAAAATAAGCAAATATGTCACTTGCCCATGGAAATAAACTTACATATGGATTCAAAGAAATTGAAACATGGATATGTCGCAACGAGTAAGAAAGACTTCTTAAGAAAGGTCACAAAATCAGAGCAGGTTTTGAATCTATATCTCTTTCGATAACCGCTCGGCTATTCTACTGTTCAACTATCCGATTTTATCCTTAATGAAAAAATTCATGGAGGTGTGGGCTGTGGCGGATGTGGCGGATGTGGGTTTAGTTGCGGGTCGCTTCTCGAGTGTCTGGCACTCACCGCACACCCATCCTCACCCACACCCCACGCCCTATACCATCATTAAAACAATACCAAGTAATTGCTGCTGATTTAATAGGATTTGGTAAATCGGATGAGCCCGTAAATAAAACTGGTCACACATACCAAAGACACGTTCAATGGATAAGAGAACTTATTGAATGTTTAAATTTGAACAATATTACTCTATTTTGCCAGGTAACCTTGAAATCATAGTGAAAAAGATGAGCATTAAGAAAACGTAATCGAACATCTTGAGAATCTCATAGGATTTTTAACCTTTTCAGATCCGCCGCACTGAATATAGTAAGATTTTTTTCAGTTTGAAATTGTTTAAATAACTTGTGAAAGTAAAACGGTATCCAGATACGGTTTTCTTTATAACATGTAAGAAGCTTCGATGCAAATGTCTATATAAGAATTCAAATCGTAATGAGATTATTCAAGTAATAAGTCCGATAGGCAAGGGGGGAAAAGCGGCTCCTGGCTCCTTGGATTCTCGCGGCTCCTCATGGATTCTGGCGGATTCTGTGGATCCTAGTGGATTCTGGCGGATTCTGTGNAAAATGCATGGTCACTTTCGTAATTTTTTCAAAACTCGATCAAAGTCATATAGATCCGACATATATGAGTCTCGTTGTTTTCTTTAGCAACTGAAAATTGTTTAAAATATTGATATAAATTCACTAATCAAAATGGATCCTGTAGGATTCTGGTGGAATCTACGGCTCCTGGTGGATTCTAGAATCCATCAGGAGCCACCAGGAGCCGCTTTTTCCCCCTTGCCGATAGGATTGGGAATCATGAGCTCAATTCTAACAGATAGAAGTGCAAATAAAGATCTTATAAGATCATTAAAATATTTCGGTTTTCCGTGTTGGAATAAAGTTAAGAATGACTCCTGGTGATTTTTCAGCGGCTGATTTGGTAACAACTTTCAATTGGATTATGACTCTCACCCGTACTCTCCCAAGGGTATGCTCAAAATGGTAACACGAATGTTGCTCTCAGGACATTTGTTCTCCAATGATATTTGCTTTCCGACAACGTCAAAAAGAACTTTTATTAGGCGTAACAACTGGCTTGAGGATGTGGATGTGGTTGAGTGTGAGAGTGCGAGTGCGGGTGGGGTAGACATGCCTGAATGTGGATGCAGGTAATATATTCATGCCACGCTCACTTCCAGGCACAGAGCCGGGCTCATCCATCCTCAAACTGGGGCGCAGGTGTCGCTCTAATATGTGAGTGTGGCATGAATATATTACCTGTATTCACATCCAGGCATGTCCATCCCACCCGCACTCGCACCCTCACACTTAACCACATCCACATCCTCAAGCTAGTTCTTACAGCTAATAAAAGTTCTGTTCGCCTTTGCTGGAGAACAAGTATCCTGGAAGCAACATTCATGGATTGGATCAAAATACATATTTGCCATCCATGTGGGAAATAGGGCAAAGGTCACAAAATGACTTTAAAGATTTGTAAAAATATTTGATGGAAATATCAGCACTATACATAGTCCATAGTAAATATGAAATCTCAAAAAAATTTCAGCCATTGGTCGAGCCATGGGTATATGAAAGGGTTAACAAGTAAAAGACCGATGACGTTCCTCGAAAGAATACGAAAGGCCGCTTTTTTCGAGGAACATGATCAGCATCTCTATAGTTTAACGTCACAGCCAGTGAAGTGCTCTATCCTAAAGAGAAATGATAGCACGGTTTTTCAAATTTCCATTGAATTTTGAATAATTTTGATTCAAAAAAATTCGCGATCTCTGCGTAGATTCCTAAATTGCTGTCATTGGGCATTTTGAGGCAGCGACTTGGAACTTTGATGTCAGTCGGAGTATCATACTGAAAGCGCTTCATCACTAAAATTTTGTTCTTTGTGCTTAAAAATAGATGATAGGTTCTTTGAAATGAGTAAATTAAATTATTATTTTCTATCTGTGATATAGGATTGGGGTAGTTTAATTGGTTTACAATTAGTTGGCATAAACGGAATAGATAATCGTTTTGCACGAGTTGTTGTTGGTAACGGTGGATTACCAATAGGTGACACAAAGTTCTCGGACGCTTTCATTACATGGCAAAAATTTGCATCAGAACAAGCAAAAATCGATGTTGGTTTCGTAATAACACACGGAGTTAAAAGGAAAATGAAATTCGAAGAACTTACTGCATATAATGCTCCATTTCGGAATGAAAAATATCAAGCTGGTGCTCTAATATTTCCTCAGTTGGTACCGACAAGACATGATGATCCTTCATCACGGTATAATCGTGACGCGTGGAAAAATTTGACAGCATTCAACAGATCATTTTAAACTTTATTCTCTGATTCTGATCTGTTAACAGTTGGTGTTGACAAATCACAGCAAATGATGATACCAGGTGCTAAGAATCAACCACATGCTACAGTAACTCAAGCTGGCCATTATTTACAAGAAGATAAGCCACATGAAATTGTTGAACATCTTATTAAATTTATTGAAAATAATCCATTGCCGTCCAAGTGATCATAGTCAGAATGAACATTCGAAGCAATTTCATTGATATTCTTATTTCTCCTTTGCTAACAACTTCAATTAAATAAGTGTTTGACCTACTTTTTGAAATAAATAAGCTTTTTCCAATTTCAAAACTGATTTACTTAATAATTCGATATAACACCATTTACGTTCCTCATAGGTAATAGTTTATAATTGACTTTTACTTTTGTTGTTCCAATACAGTTTTTTCGGTACATTCTTCATTGTTGATATTAGTCTTAGCAGCATTTTTAGTAATTAATAATTCCCAGTTACATGATTATCCAAGTGATCAATTATGTACAGGAAAAAATGCATCATTATCGTCAGGGTGTTGTGTGCGGGTGGGTGGTTGTCGGTGCGGGTGTGGGTGTGGGTGTGAGTGCGGGTTTAGTTGTGGGTCGCTTCTCGAATGTCCGACACTCACTGCACACCCATCCACACTCTCACTCATACCCACCCCACACCCACACTCGCACCCACACCCCACACCCTTCTGTCCGTCCGTGTACACGATAATTTTTGAAAGGAGAGTCAGATCATGATGAAATTTTCTACAGTTTAGTTCTTATCAATGTCTCGGCTGAGCTCGATGATGAGAAAGATCCGTCAAGAAGTGGCTGATTTATCGAAGAAATTGTCATTATTGACCAGACCATCTCTGAGGGGGGGGGTACATTAATTTTTCAAAAAAACATTTTCTCAGAATTATTCACAACATATATAAATTCACTCAGTTTTTAATGCTGATTCCGAATCCGATATTAGTTTTGAACCAAATCGTAGCTTTCTAACAAAACATTGGCTGAAAAAGGTCTAAAAATGCACCGAAACTGCATTCAGAAAGCAAATAGCCTAGATATGTCTCAGACGATAAAAGAACAAAGTGAATATGCCTGTTCACTTTTTGAAGTACACATAACATTCGGATTTTGTTCCGATAAGATAACCCCTATAACTGTAGTTTTAAAAACTATTTATATCCTCGAAAACAAGCAAGAAACGTGAACTCTTTTTATCATCGACACAGCTCTCTAACAGTATGTATGTTCTTCATCGAAAGTCACATTGTCAAAATAAAGATTGTCAGTTGAAATTTTACCGAAAAGCTTCTTTATGAGAAGTTTGGATGTTTATACTGATGATCCTTTTTTCGATAATATTCATTTCGGCGATTTTTCGTTTCGGCAATATACATTTCGGTGAATAGTTTACTGAAACTGCACAGTCCTAGTCAATTCTGAACGTATGAGATTCTAGTCCGTAGTATTAATGTTACAACACAAAATTCTGCCCAAAACATTTGGGTTTTGGGTCGGTTTTGGAGTTTTGGACTGAATTTGAGTGCAAAGAGCTCTCCCACACCCGAATTTTCCCCAAAATCCAAGAGATATGGTATTGTAACATGCATATCCATAGGAACATGGTCCTGTTATTAAACTTTAATCAAAAGGCACACTTATTTGACTGAGTGAGAAAGATGGCAATGTTGGCGTTTCGAATTTTATGTTAGGAGTTGAATTGAACTTTCCTTATAATATTAGGCTATGCAAATCGAGCACATTTAGGTCATTAACATAACTGAATCATATATTACTGGATTTTCTTAATATTTTCTTTTCTTATCTGTTTTTTATGAATTTTTGATGATTTTTACGTCTTTTTTCATATTTTAAGGGCTTTTCAGGATAATTATCCTTAGAAAAGTATTACAATTATACATCAGCAGATAGATTGAATTCTTTTGTGGGCGTGAGTAACAGATAAGTTATGAACTATTATCTTGTTAGTAGTGGCTCTTGGCTGTTAGTAGATTTTGAAGGCATTTTTGGACTGGTTTCACACCTTTTTATGGGAGAAACGATTACCAAGTCCTATATAAAGATGATACCTATTGGTGTCAGAATATAGGATTTGGAGTTCGGTGGGTGTTAGTATGAACTTATCGAGATGTTCCTATGAAGTATAAGACAGATATTGGGTGTTTGTAGGAGTGGGTGTCGTTTTGTGGTTCTTGCTGGAAGGTTATCTTTTTCAGAAGTCACACAAAGTGGGTGTTAGTAGGTGTTAGTGAACACAACTGCCCGAGATACGAGTTTTAGTAATAGACACTTTCGCTGGATCTCGAAAAGTTGGGTGTTTGTGGTGTTTGCAGAAATCACTAATACCATATTTAACTGTACTTTACGATGCGCCAGTGCACAAATTCAAGTCAAAACTCATCCTCTGCTGGTACATGAAACAATTTGATAAGATATACACCATTGGATAGAGAAACGTTTTCTCCACTAACCTATATATGAGTGAATCGTATTTTCTTTGTATAGTTTGTAAAAAAAATTTAAAGTGAGCTTTGAAAACTTCGCGTGGTGTATTTTGTTTCCCATCCCTCTGTGAATATGGGGTAAAAATTTGCCAACTGTCAGACATCAGGAGACCGAGATATCCTAGCATAAACTTTGGCTTTTTCCGCCTGCGACGTTATCGAAGGAAAATGTCGGAAAATCAGCTTAAAAGTACACATACAATACACCATTTGATAGATCTCGATGAGTACTATCCGCTGGTACAAATCCTAGTGTATCATACCTTCACATCTCACCAGGAAACTGTAAAACGTCCTTTAGAAAGGCGAAAAGTGGGGGAGCGAGAGACTTCCGTATACATGCTACTAGTTTTTTCTTACTCACTTCTCTTACGCGCACAAGTAGAACACACACACAGCATGTGGCCCAGAGAGCAGAATGATGTATAATACTAGTCACTTTAGTACACAAACACCTACTCGTTTCAAAAAAATCTCGCCCTACATATTGCTGTAAAATGGAAATTTTCCCAACTTACATGTGTGTTAGAGATCTGAAATTTATACCACGTGTAGACAATTTTGTACTCTATCTTGTGTGAAAGTTGGACAGAGATCGACTGAGTCCTTCACGACTTGTAGGGGAAATTACTTTCAAAATCTCACCCTACAAAATGAGTGAAAAATGTAGTTTTTCTTTTATTTCAGATATTTTAGGGAAAATTTTGTCAAATTTTACCACTGTAGTAAAAACTAGATCTCTTGCTCTTTCTTTTCATTGGTTTGCTTTCCCGAAACAGCTGCTCTCTAGGTCTGTACATTCATTTTAATCTCGCCGTACAGTCTGTGTACCAAAGTGTTTTGTGGCCAGAAGTATATGTATAAAGAAGAAAAGGAAAACGTGCGCTATATATTTCGTGAGATTGCTTCGTGGGTCACAAAACGTATTGTTTACCTTTTATTTTTCCCTCTTCGCTTTCTTAGAAAATTCATTTTTTTCTCCGATGACTCATCGAAAAAATGTTTTTTTTAAGCTTCTAAAGCTTCTAGCTCGGCCAGATGATGAGCTAGAGTGCTGTAATTTTCTGTGGTACTAAGAGGCAGAAAGAGGATTAAAATAAAAAAGAATGTCGAAAATCGGCCGACAGGAACAAGAGTTATGGTGGAAATACCTATAAAAATCGAGTGTACAAAGAAAATACGATTCACTCATATATATGTATACACGCCTATCTGATGATGCAATCAATATTCAGTCGCTAATTGTAATTAATTTAGCCTCCAAGATTTTTCTATCATTAAATGTCGAATCATCAATTATAATTGAACCTTACAACTAATTAAGCTTTATCATTTTCCCACTGTACAGCATTCAGTCATTAGTTATAAAATAAAATTTTACAATTAATTAAGCCTCGAACATCATTGGCTAATGAATTCATACCGATTATTCGAATGTTTCATCTACATCACACTTTTCAATCAACTATAGATGGAAAGATTCATTATGCACATAGACAGCTGCACCGACTGTCTTAGATATAGCATGGATAAACTAGACCATTCTTAGGTTAAGCGAATCTGTACAAAAATTGTGATATCGGACTCGCATACGTAGAGTTTGTTTCATATATAACGAGAAATGAACCAATCTATTTGCTGAATAAATATATAGATGAAGCTAAATCACTTTCTTTCTTTCCTGTTTATTATATATATATACATATGTCTATTCGAAATGTTCGAAGTTGTCTAGATATACTAAACTAAATCATGTTCTTTCCTTTCTTCTCGTATTAAACATGCGCACATGCTAACCACTTTCGAACCTTCTATGTGATATTAAGTCGTTTCGTTCTCTTTTCTTTTAATCGATCGCCTTACATATAAATAAAGAATTGAAAAATCGATTTAATGACTACGAAGAATTTAGCCAGCTAATTATTTTTTTATCTCTTACTTTCATATTCAATATCAACTTGGATCAATCTATTTACTGACTACATAAATGTTAGGGAGCTATTTCATTCTACTTGATTCATTTTCATGACGAATATAAAATTGTCTAAATATTTTCCGCTTCTTTTTATTGATCTAATACAATCTTGATAAGCAACTTTGCTCATTCAGATTTAGAATTTTCATCAATTTTCCTATTTATTGATGAATGATCTTGTATGAAAAGCAAAACAAAACATATTTAATAACTGCATTTTTTTTCTAGTCCACCTGCTAAAAATATCATGTTAACATATATTTTGTATTCAAACCATCCTCATATGAGGTAGAATCATCACAATCACATTCATAAGCCTTTTCAAATAAACCTAAATTTTCACATTCCACTTTATACCGAGACAAATTAATGTTTTGCCGTTCATACATATTTATGTTAGAATTTGAATCAACACTTCAATATATTAACTCCATTTGCACACAACACGATCAGATAGTAGTAATGGTCCTCGTTTAATTTGAAAGCAAAAGTCTTTTTATGATTAAACACGTTACCATTTGAAGAGCTAAAAAATTCAGCTGAAACTTGTTCTCAAATACTGCTAAGGACACCAGAGTCTCCTAACTGTTAAAAAATTTTGATTTTTTCGGCCTATTTTCTTCGCATATATGTTTGTGACCAGTAGTTTAAGCGTTTAGTTGAATTCATTAAGATTTGAGAAAGTTTCAAACACGTAGTGGGGCTCGTTGAATGTTCACTAACACTAAAAGCTGATTTACTTAGTTTTTCTTTCGAACCGATGGTCGGAAAAATATACTTATCTTATAATAGTGTTAGTTGGCGTCGATTACCATAGAATTCTGAATTTGAACGTTTTCTTACAACAATTGGTTTTGAGGAAAGTGTAACCAATGAAGCTAGCGAAAGCATCGTGCTGATTTAGGTGAAGACTTTTAGTCTTATTGAACTCTTGATTCCTCGTCGTGTTTGGGCTAGTCCTTTTTCTCTATGTAGTCAGGAGGTGTCAGTTTGTTTCTTGTTTAATTTCGGGAATAATTGATTGCATTTTAGTATTATATGAGTGATTGTTTAACGTAAGAAATATTAGAGAACTTTATTTTGGAAGCAGTGTCTTTTTGGAGTTCGTTCCAATAGAAAAAGAGACTTGATGTTTTTCAAAACATTTCTAAATTCTTCCGGTGGCAGCCGCCCACTCTGGGAATGTGAGTTAGATGAATAGTTTAAAAAAACTATCGTTTTCTTGCCCGTTCCGTTGGAAACGGTTTTCGTATTGTATATTTCTATTTTTACATTATTCGAGAGACAATTGTTGTATCTTTCACTGACGGACAAAATATATATAAATATTTCCATCCGTTAGTGATTCCCCACTTACCACTTTTCATTTTTTTTGCTCTTTCAGGTCGTCGCAATCAAATTCGTCACCGCCTTCGTCGAGATGGTGAGCGAGAACAACGACCTCGAGGTAATGAACCATCACTACCACAACAACCACTTCAACGACAACAACAAACCCAACCACAAGATCAACAACAACAACAACAACCACCACCCCCTCCAAAACATCGTGCCTATTTGTCGATACCGCCATCAAATATTTTTGTTTCAATCTGGCTTGAATCGAATAGGTAAAGAACTTTCTTATTTTTATATAAACTCAATGTTTCGTTTTCTATTATGGCGTAATCTTGATCACAGCACATGACTATCCAATTCAAGCTGAGATTGATATCTCCGATCTTCAATCCTGACTCTCCATATGTACATTTTTCTTTCCCTTTCCCATTATTCCTGTTTTTCGTTATCGTGTTGTTTTGTTTTGTTATTTCTAATTGACTATTGGAATAGATACTAAACATTTATGAAAATGAAATACGTTTTCAACTTATTCAAAGCGCTCACATACCGTGCGAAAAATCCCAATGAATTACTATGTAACAGTTATATGTAAAGACAATTGAAAATTTTTGACAGAGCAGAGACGTAAATGTCTTAAAATACCAAAAACATAGAGATAATTTTTCGATGCACAGCAAATTAATTTTGATGCCAGAAGAAATAGTTCTCCCTTGATTAGAATTTGATTTCCAATCGAATGGCCGTCTCGGATTTTCCATGTTCGAGACGGTTGTCTTTGTAGAATCATTCTTAAAATGATTATTTTCACGTGAATCGATTTTTATGAAAAAAAAAACAATTGAATTGATCGGACATTAATCTTGATGGTAGTATAAATAGGATGTTGGTGTGTTAGGCACTGAATAAATCAATAGATTTAAAGTATAAGAGAACGTTTTAATCTTGCTTAAGAATCTGATCAGTCATCTTTAGAATCCCAAAACTATATGGTAAACATCATAAATAACTCACATTGACGAGAAGCTAGCACGATCCAGAAAAATTTCATTGGCTAACGAAATAAACCAATCGAAAAATCAAAACAAGCAAAAACACCATTTTGAGGGTTCGACTCACTATTATGGTAGCAGCTAGCAACGCCTAAAAAGTAATCCTAAAGGCGATCTTAGCACTATGAGCGATCACGAAAGAAACTATACTAATCCAAACCGGAAATATCGATTATCTACCATCTAAATTCCATTGAAAACATGACTCACACTACCTGACACACAATATTTTTGAAGCTCATTTTGTAAAAAAAACTACCAATTCCACAATAATCGCAACCGTACTCCTTCAAAAACAGCCCCACTAATGAATGACTCGTGAAAAAAACCTACCTTTTCAGAAAATTCGCCCCCCACCGCCGATTCCATCCGTTGCCTGGAAATGAGCTTTTCAACATTGAATAGAGAATTCATTTCTCTATCAAACCATGTATCACAACTACAAATATTCGATTTTGAAACCAATCGAAAAAGGTCAACTGTTATTTGAAAGATGAAAGAGGTGCGAAAAATAAAGCTCAATGTTATGTGTTGATTTTAGTTAAATTTTCGGAATGTAAGCACTAGTGTGGCATGAGAAGTGAAATAGGGAGATGGTATGACAGAATTACTTCTTCAAAGACGAGAGATAATTTGTGAAGGGGTAGTGTGTGTTACGATTCTGGTTATCTTTCTTTCTTGTTTTCGAAATTGTTATGCAATTAGATTTGATTGATCGCTTCAATAGAACAATCGGAATGCTTTTGAAATGTTTTATGAGCAAAGGATTCTTTAATGCTATGTTTTTTTTGTTTTGATGATAATTATATTACTGCGTAATGTTGTTGCAAAGAAGTGTACGTATACATATATATATATATATATGCTTGCATGTCTCATTTAAACACTCAATAATCTTTTTTCATATTATACATTATAATGTTGTCGTTAATGATCGTCATACTTGGTTTGATCGGTTGTGTTCACTCACGGATAAATTTAGCTATTTAATTCTTGAGAAATGTTAATATTTTCAAAATATTTAGCCGATTGGTTTCAAGTCTTTCGAAGACTATGATACTGTATCTCTGGTACCTTTGATTCCAGTCGGTGAAATGCATTGGTGAAATGGTATATCCAAAAGAAACTTCTAGTATTCTCATATCTAGTGAGAAGTCTACAACCACTCAAAGAAAGTCTTCTCATTGGATATCGAGTGTACTCCAACTTCTTTTCGCTGCCATTTCATCGGGTGGATTCGTAGGCACTTGTTGGTGCAGTATCAAATGTCTTCGAAACGGTTGTGCATTCAAAGTAAGTGATGAGTTATAAAAAAATTTCAAAAATTTAATCTATATTTTTGTAATTTCAGCGTGCCTGGGTGACACCAAAATCGGTTGCTGAATATAAACGGCGAAAACAAATACAAAGTAAGTTCATTGAATTCGTCTTTGCTTCTATATTTGATTTACTGTTTAGATGATCAAATTGTACATTATCAACCATCAACAATTACTCAATCCATTTCCAACTCACTGTCGTCTCAAGCTTTATGATCAACTTGATATGTACAACTCGTAAATATTTTTTTTTGTTTTTGTTGTGTTATATATTTTTGTAAATTTCTCGTTCAACTATTTATTTTGAAATAAAAGTCTTTGTTGAAATATTTTTTTTTTCTTCATACATAAAATATGGTATTCTCAAATGAGTTCAAGTCAGAATTGAAATAGATGTTTATCGATATATGATAAATCATTCGCTCTTATTTAGGGATGAGAAGTTATCTTATTGTTATTTTTCATTGATAACAATCATTTTTTGCGATAGTTATTTGTTATAAATAACAGATATATAACAAATAGCTTTTATTTTGAAAATTCAGTTCATTCTTTATATTGGTTATATCATGCGAATTAGCAATATTGAAGTTAAAAATTTGTTCTAAAGCATAAGTTCATATAACGGATACAATAAAAATATAAAACGACCTGAGACAGGATCTTTTTCAGAAAAAAACGTTATTGTTATAAATAGCAACAACAATAAATTCACAACCCTACCCTTATTTCGTTTGTTCTGTAAACGTTACACAAGTTGAGAAACAATCCCATTATGATGCTTCGTATGGCCTATGCAAATCCATTAATCTAGTTAGCTATTTTTGTTTTTTTTCTTTTCCTCACAAAATAATCAACTTGTGAAAGAAACACACCCAGATAATGATTCAGTTCGTTCTTAATGATCATTATCTTAATCAAGGTGAAGAAAAAAATGGTATGCTTGATTGAACAGCACTGATTTGTATTGAATTCTCTGTCATAGTTTCTATGAAACAATCAATATTGTTTTTGTTGTTGTGCCTACTGAAAAGATCACAAAGGTAAATTAATCTTTTTGAAGAAAACAATCATTATACGTTAGCCAATATGAATTGTTAGAAGAAATGGTCTAAAAAATAACAATTATTATTAATTGGAATATATATATATATAAATATATTCTAGTTTTCTTGATTATGATCACTGTAAGTGGGGGTAGGTATAATGTATTTTTTTCTTTTAAAGGTTGAACTTTCTGTTGAGAAATAGAATAAAAAAAAGTACAAAGACGGCTGCGCAATTCTTTTTTTCTGCACACGTGATTGGAAAGAGAGAAGTGTTCTATTCTATGTGCTGTTCTGTTCATCCTATCAACGACCTAAATGACATAATTGAAAAATATGTTTTCTTTTCATCGTTCCATTTCTTCTTGTCATTCTGAACATATGTTGACAAAAGGAAAATATCACTGTTCATAAGATAGTATCAGCATGTCATGAATTATACTTTTTCTTCGAAGTTACACAAGTTAAAATTCGAATGAAATATACGTGAAATGCAATTGAAAAAATACGATGAATATATATTTTTAAAAACGTAGGATATCTTAGGTCAGGATTCGAGTATTTCTTGAAAATATTCGCCGTGAAGCTGGCTCCAACTAAGGAGTTGCTGGCTCCAAGTAGATCTCGACGAGTTCTATCCACTGCAATGTTTTTTTTGTGAAACAAGATCTGAAAGGAGTGTTGAAGTATATAGGGTACAAATTTGGACCCACCCCGGCT